ACCGATCCTCCATATTTTGGACTCCCTTATTTTCCTGCTTTGAACTAGTCCTTCCGTTTGCAACGAATGTCGTGGTTTGAGCAAGGATGTCTCCCTTTTCATCTTTCTTTTGTGCATGGTAGGTTTGAATGCAGAAATTCTGTAGCGTGGGTGGGCACGAAGAGCCGCAGCGGCGGCCGGGGAGGGAAATGCACCGCAAAAAGGTCGCGGTGGCAGCAAGCCCAGAGGAGAAGAGCCACAGCGGCGGCCGGGGAGGGAAATGCACCGCAAAAAGGTCGCGGTGGCAGCAAGCCCAGAGGAGAAGAGCCGCAGCGGCGGCCGGGGAGGGAAATGCACCGCAAAAAGGTCGCGGTGGCAGCAAGCCCAGAGGAGAAGAGCCGCAGCGGCGGCCGGGGAGGGAAATGCACCGCAAAAAGGTCGCGGTGGCAGCAAGCCCAGAGGAGAAGAGCCACAGCGGCGGCCGGGGAGGGAAATGCACCGCAAAAAGGTCGCGGTGGCAGCAAGCCCAGAGGAGAAGAGCCGCAGCGGCGGCCGGGGAGGGAAATGGGTTGAAGTCACCGCCGCCGCAGCAGCAGCGCTAGCAGCAGCAGCAGCAGCAGCAGCGCCCGCAAAGGCCCCTGCATTAGTGCGCGGTGGCTGAAAGGGCCGTGAAAGGTGTCTGCCAATCCGAACCGGCGTCCCTGCCTCCGTTGCGAGGTAACGAGCCAAAGTGCCAGGACCCCTTTATCACTACTTCATCACTGCCATCATCACTGTCACCGTCGCTGGGCTCGATACCTTCTCGGCTGCCGTCCGCGTCGCCACCGTCGATGCGGCTGGTGTGACCGGGAGGCGCCTGTGCTTCCACCACGTTTGTTTTCCAGTTCAGGCGTCGCAGCTCTTCGACGCAGCAACTGCGGCGTGGGGCCGTTGCCGTCCAGCAGTGCCTCGTCAGCATCTGTCGGCGCCGCCGCCTCATCCGCCGGCTGTACGAGCACACTGGCACGGCACCTTCCCATGGGCCCCGTCGGTGCCGAGGGCGTATTAACCAACATCCCGGTGCGGCCGGCGGAGACGCGACGTTTCGGTGCACTTCTGATAAAGGCAAAGTCCGCTAGGGGTCTTACTGCCGGCGCCGCCGCGGCGGCAGCTGCTGATAGCTTGCCGACGGCGCCGGCGCCGCTGTCCAGCGAGCCACCCCTTCCCCGTTGCTGCAGTGCCTGTGAGGGCAGCGGAGAAAGCCGCCGTGCAAGAACAGCAATTTGACAAGAACTAAAAGATGCCGACGGCGAGACGTCCAACTAACAAACAAGACGTGACGCACTGCCAAATTGTACAATGACGTACTTACGGCAACGTCAACCAGGAACTGCACTGCACAGACAAGGCAGGCATTTAAGTATAGCTTAGACTCACCGGTGGTACGACAAACCGTGACGTGGAAACGCCGACGGCAAGACGCCGACGGCGATCAAAATGGCATGTCTTCCACGCCGACGGTGATGCTGATGGTGAAAATGGCGGTGGCGTCCCAGACCCGGCAGGTATTGTTGCAGCGAGTGATCAGGGGATTCGTGCGGGGATGACGGGGTTGCATACACACTACGAAACGGTTTCGGAGTGGCCGAGTTCGCAACAGATTCCAACGAAACGCAAGACATGGAACCAAACGACCCTCGACCATGCCATGCCATCATGCATACCACAACAAAACTTTGATGATGCAGATTGATTGGTGGTCGGCAATACAAATCCGGCATCCCAAATCCGACATGCTATGGCAAAGCGTTGCAGGACGGGGGGGGGACGTGTGAAACGAGGCCCCTCTCGTACTTACACTTTCACACATGACGGCGATGTACGGCGATGTACGGCGGTGGCGACGGCTCGTCGCGCCGATACATGTTGTTGTCCTGTTGGAAGTCCTCGCCCAGGCTCACTCAGACCGGCGGGGGGATCGGGCGGGAGGTGGGCGGGGAAATACACACACACACACACGCTGTTAATCAGCTAGCAGGGGACGCAACGAGCACAGACTTTGCACGGCAAAACAACATGAGCAGCTGCGCACAAAATGCAGAAACATACTAATAAGCACACAGGCGGATCGCGGGCAGTTGGGAATTCTCCATCACAAGTAAAAACAATAGCACCCCCACACCTACCCACACATACGTATACATGCGTGCGCGTGCACACACACATACACCCTCTTACACACACCTACAGACACTTACACACGCACACGCGCGCGCGCGAGCACATTCTCACCCACATTTGAACACCTATATACAAACATACATACATACAATTGCGCACAAATACAAGCCAAATACAAGCACAAATACTGAACACCGCAACAATAACCATCGGCCAGCTTTGCAGCTTCTATCTGAGTTTGCTGACCTTATCTTTGCAGTTTGCTGCCTTTGTGCTTTTGCTGTCGTTGTCGCTGTTGCTGCTTGCCGGCACGACAGGAGAAAAACACCGCGCCACGAAACACCCACAGCAAGAAACTTTGCTCCGAACGTATGTACGACATCACTACATCACGAACGGACACAAAGTGGCACCCACGCAGTGAACATACGGGGAAAGACCTCCATGCCGTACTCCCTACACGCTCGAGACGCCGACGGCAAGACGCCGACGGCAAGACGCCGACGGCAAGCCGCCGACGGCAAGGCGCCGACGGCAAGACGCCCGACGGCAAGCCGCCGACGGCAAGGCGCCGACGGCAAGCCGCCGACGGCGAGACGCCGACGGCGAGGCGGCCGACGGCGAGGCGGCCGACGGCGAGGCGGCCGACGGCGAGGCGGCCGACGGCGAGGCGGCCGACGGCGAGGCGGCCGACGGCGAGGCGGCCGACGGCGAGGCGGCCGACGGCGAGGCGGCCGACGGCGAGGCGGCCGACGGCGACGCGGCCGACGGCGAGGCGGCCGACGGCGACGCGGCCGACGGCGAGGCGGCCGACGGCGAGGCGGCCGACGGCGAGGCGGCCGACGGCGAGGCGGCCGACGGCGAGGCGGCCGACGGCGAGGCGGCCGACGGCGAGGCGGCCGACGGCGAGGCGGCCGACGGCGACGCGGCCGACGGCGAGGCGGCCGACGGCGACGCGGCCGACGGCGAGGCGGCCGACGGCGAGGCGG